TACAATGTACCTTAACAAGACAAATCTAATGAGTTATATTTCATCTTACTAGGTTTAATAGGGAAGAAAACGTTATGAAATTTGTATTTGCTAAATTTTTAAAGATGATGAAAAATGAATTTCTTCATAAAGTTAAATCACATTATTTCAATAACCAGTAATCAGAATTTAATTATTTATGATTCAATGAATTCATATTATCAAGATGCATCTAATTGCAGTATTATTATGTCTCTAAATTTGATGGATCAGATGTTATTCTCAACAGTAAAATGCAAATAATTCATTTTTTATCTTTAAAAATTTAGCAAATACAAATTTCATAACGTTTTCTTCCCTATTAAACCTAGTAAGATGAAATATGACTCATTAGATTTGTTTTGTTAAGGTACATTGTACCTATTATTTTCATGTCTCTAGGATTGATGGATCAAAAGTTATTTGCATTTTACTGTTGTTAGACATTTATCGATAATTTCTGATCTATTGAACCTACAGACTTGAAAATACTGCGGTTAGATGCGTTTCAATAAAACGAATCCAATGAATCACAAATCATTAAATTCTAATTATTGGATGTCTAGATAATGTGATTTAATGGTCATTTTTTAGAAGTGCTCGGATACTTTTAGCAGGTGGGTGTATTTAATAATTACTATATTAATATATATAAAACTATGAAATTAATATATATATAACTTATTGCACTGTGGGATGGTTAACCTATTTTCTGTATTTATGTGGTATGGTATACCTAAGGTTGCTTGTCTAAACCTCTTCAAAATCCTACGTAGAGCTCCGAACGAGTCGAGTCAAGTCGAGTTATATGTAAACTCGATTCGACTCGAGTTAAATCGAGTCGAGTCGAGTCGAGTTAAAATTATAAAAATATAAACTCGACTCGATTCAAGTCGAGTTGGCCCGTCAAACCGAATCGAGTCGAGTCGAATTAAATCACGTGATTTTAATTCGGCTATGCCGATCATTTCCTTTTTTTGGCGATAGCCGTTCCACAAAATTCCATTTTTGTAATTTTCAAAAAATTTTCGTCTCGGATTTTGTGTAACATAATTTCCAAAAAAGGAAATTCCATAAATTTGGCCGGAATTATGTTTAATTCGGCTTAACTCGACTCGACTCGATTTTATTAAATTATTAACTCGACTCGAATTGATTCGATTTGATTGTAATTTTCAACTCGACTCGACTCGACCAACTCGCGAGTCAACTCGACTCGTTTCGGAGCACTAAATTCCTACGATAAGTTTTGTCAAAATTTTACTATAGATTTATTATAGTTTTGGCAGAGTTTTGGCAGTTTCAGCATTTATAATAAGTTTCAGCAGTTTCGCCTTTCTCCAAAGTTTTGCCAGTTTTTTAATATAACTTTAATATAGTTTTGGCAGAATTTCGCTTTTCAGTGAAACGCCATCTTGCCTAAACCCCTAGGTTTTGGCAAGCAACCTTAGGTACACCTATTTTGTATGGAGCCAAGTGTTAAAATTAATAAACTTTAAATTTAAAATATATATATATATAATTAAAAATATTAAAAAAAAATATATTTTTATTATAAAATTACTAAATTTTTTGTGACAAAGTTTCCATCTGGCAGCCAGCCTAAATTTTAGATTATAAAAACTGGGAATAATCAGTTGATATAGTCAATATTATTATTTTTTCCTTTTAAAATTTCAAATGATATAATTTTTTTTTGGTTAAAAAAAAATCCTTCTTCTTTAGCTTCTCTAAATTTTAATTGTTTATTTTTAAGCTAATTGCAAATAATATCACTGCACTTCAACAATAATCACTATCATATAATCCATGCATATTATTAGCAATGAATTATTATTCTTATTGTCCATAACTATGGTATTCTATACCATATATGATACCTTTACAAATCACAAGCCTTTTATCTATTTAATTAATCAAGATGCTGCTCCTCCAATTATATTTAACTACTAGTCCCACCTACTATTTCTTCAACTAACACATTTAATGATAATAATATTTTATCTTATATAAAACCATTTATAAGTATTAACTCAAATTTAATAAATGAAAGAATCACAACCAGCAATGTGATAATCAACAAAGACGATGAACAAATTGTTAATACTGCAGAGTTACAGTGTAATTTTGTTTATTCATACCCTATAAAAAATTTTTATCCAAATATTTCCATTATTTCTCCATGTCTTCCATAAAAATTCTGTGAAAATGATACATTCATGGATATCCATGTTAGCGAGATGAAAATTTCCATAATTTAAGGCTATAAATTCCATGAAAATGATACATTCACAGAAAAAATATGGAAAGATAAAACACAGATCAGATTTTTTACAGGGATAATATTTAACATTTATAGTAAATATAAATTGTATAAATTATTAATCTATACTATTTTTTTAGCAGTAGATGAGCTTTTAGATAAACTCGATTTGCATATTATTAGAGATTGCGAAGTGCGTAATAAAATTGCTTATCTATTTATATATTATTTATATACTGTATATTAGTATAGTAAACAATAGGTATTTTACCAATAGGCAGTGTATAAAATTTGAAAAAATTATATGTGCACATGTGCACATAAAGCATTTTTTTTTTTGTGCACAATCAAAAAATTTTTATGTAAAATAGTGCACATTTTTATTAATTTTATTAATATTTTCTTTAAGAAATTTTGTGCACAATAATGCACATTAAATTTTAAAAATTGTGCACATAAAAATTAAAATGTGTAGGGAATTGAGTCGACACCTAAAATCATTGTTCGATTAATTGGTTAAAATTTTTTAGGCAAGATCAACCAAAATCGACTAACAAGCTGTAATCGATTAAAGTTCGATTAAGTACACTCGATCTAATAAAATCGAACAATTAATCGAACAATTAATCGATTAAATGTCATAAATAATTAGTATTTTATTAGTAAATTAAAAATTAATAAAAATAAAAATAATAAATTATATAAATTTTATGCAGTTTTATACTTTCACATTATTTATTTATAATATATATTAATAATACACACGCCCGTCTGTTTTCTCTACAAAGTAATCCCGTTTTATTTGCAGTTTTTGGTATAATTTGTGGTTCTTGTTCATCTGTAATATCACTTGCCAAATGTTTTGATGTGTGTAAAGATTCAGTGGAACTATTTGCACGTTTTGGAGGCATTATTTACGTTAAAAGAGTTTATTAATACTATAAGCAGAGAGTGTAAAAGAAAGAAACTTTCTTACTTGTTACAAAGAAAAATTAGCAAAGTTGCTATTTTAAGATTTTATCATGTTTATTTAACCAATTTATCGTTAAAGCATGATTAATTATTTTAATCAATTTATTTTATTCGAGTATTATATAATCGATTTTACATGTTTCAAATTTATTCGATTATATGTTGATCAATTTTAATTTTTCGAGTACTCGATACACAAAATCATTAGTCGAGTCACTTGACTTGATCGACCATGATCGATTTTGAATTGGTCGACTCAATTCCCTAAAAATGTGCACATGTGCACATTGTGCACATGAATTTTATACACTGCCAATAGGAGTTTGCCGGCGGCGATCATCGCCGGTATCACGTGATTTTTAATTTGGCCGGAATTATAGTATCATACTAAAAGCAATTTTATTACCAATAATATGTAATGTATCAAAAACATCAAAGATATTTAATAATTTATCTAAAAAATATCAGTATTGTTAAAAAATAATGATCCTATTTGGCTGCATGATAATTAATAATTACACCATAATATTATGAGTAACTTCACAGTTACACTTTAAGAAATGCAATTTTATTGGTTAATTTGCTCATGTGGCCAAATACATGCATTACTCCATGACCCATGAAGTCAATTCCCAGTATGACTGTGAAAAATCCATCCAATTTGAAAAGGCTAAAATTTTTTTATGAAAAATAAATATTTGCAAGTAAAAAAATGGACAAAAACCAAGAGTGAAAAGACTGTTCCAACTTCTTTCAAACAATGTGTGAAAGATTTTGTTCCAAATGAGAGGTCAAATCGTACATCTTCAACAAAATTTAAAGATATATATGTGTCAAATATTTTTTATATAACCACGTCATACGAAATGATCTTTTCAAGAAGCGTTAGCTCATATTACAATAATGGGCTTCTGGAAAATTAGTCGAAGAGCGTTATTTCTATCAATTTATATAAATAAAGAATCGAGATAAATATTTCAATGTGGAAAAAAAAAAATTAATTTGTATCCTTGAACAATGGTTTAACTTTCCATTTTTGCTTTCAATGAAGTTAGTAATACCATAACATTATGTGTGACGATTTCTGTTCCATGGAATATACTTAAATTCCAATAAACGTTTGAAAATGTGCCAAGAAATTCAATTAAAAATTGATAAATTAAATTCGAATAATGTATTATCCGATATTATTTCATTGTAGTTATATTATTTCATTGTTTTATGGTAATTATTTTTCTCTCAATTGTAATAACCAAATCTTTTTAAGAGTTTCAAAAGCAGGCATTATTAATAAATTTGGTTTTAAAAAATATGCAAAAAACGTTGATCGTGTTTGGAAATTAATGGGTTTTCTTTGATATTACCTATCAAGTAGAAAATATCAGTTCCAAAAATTGATTTATTTATCTATTTATTTATTTTTAATAAAATTTAACTATTCAAGTATAAAAAATAACGTGTAATTCATTTACAATAATTTATCACGTATAACCACCACATTACCGGCACAATTATTTTTCCGGTCAGTTACACATAATATAAAGAATATCAGTTGTTTGTTTTAATAAGATCTACGATTATTTATATTATGGATGAACAGAAATTTTCGAAACGTCGCACAGCACACTCTTAAATAATCACTTTTTTTTGGTGATATTTCTATTTAAACAACAAATAATTTATTTTCATTATCTTGTTGTTTCTTTTCTTTTCTTTTCTTCTTTTCTTTATTTTTTTTTTTTATTTTATTTGATCATTGTTATTAAATAGTTTTCCTTCGTTTACATTATAAGTAAAAAAAAAAATTATCTCCTCAAAAAAAAAAAATTTGAATTTCCTAAAAAATATTTTCCCTCTTTTACATTTTTTTTTTTTTTATAAATCTTTTTTCTTATCTTCTTTTTATAAAATTATGGGACATGTTGGTTCGAAAAGTAATTTAAATCCTAATAATAACAATCGAAGTTCACGTAAAAGCTCATCATCAATTTCAAAAAAACATTCATTTAGATATGCTAACGGTAGAAGATTTCATAATGATGAAAATTCAATGTATTTCTTACCAAATGATGAAGAAGAAGGTTAGTTAAATTACTTTTTTGTATAATGATCACCATATATGGGAATAAATTTTTAAAGTAACCAATAAAAAAAAATATATATATATATACTGTATATATTTTCAGTTGATAGACTACAATTAGAACATTTCTTGTTTAGATATATTTGGGAAGATAATTTTTCATCGCCGATTAGAGATTTGATCGACAAAGGTGATGCAAAAGTATTAGACGTTGGGTAAGTAGTAAAATATGGCTAATCGGTTAAATTCTATCGGCCCGAATAATTTTAACCTTTATATATTTAGATGTGGACCTGGAACTTGGTTGTTAGATATGTCAACAGATTTTCCACGAAGTTCATTTACGGGAGTTGATATGTCACCAATTTACCCTGGTGATATAAAACCACGTAATTTAACATTTCATACAGCAAACGTATTAGAGGGTTTACCATTCTCTGATAATACTTTTGATTTTGTCTACATGAGATTCTTGATGACCGCTTTCACAGAAGATGATTGGCAGAATAAAGTTATTAAAGAATTAATCAGAGTATGTAAACCAGGTGGATGGATAGAAATTATGGAAGGTGATTTGGTTTTCAATCCTGAAGGTCCAGCTGGAAAAAGACTGATGGATGCATACCGATCAACACTTGAATCCAAACAAATTAATCCAAAGATAATCAACCATCTTCAATCTATTCTCTCTTCTACAGAAACTTTATCTTGTTTAACAACTAAAGAAAAATCTGGTCCAATAGGTACTTGGGCTGGAAGAATAGGGGAATTATCATATCAAAATTTTTCACAAACCTTACGAGCTTTAAAACCTGTACTCTGTAAATTAATGGAATGTGCTGGTGAAGAATATGATGAATTGATGGAGGAATTTGGAAGAGAGTGCAACTCGAATAATACTAATTTCGTACATTTTAGATTTTTTGCTAAGAAGGTCGAATGAAATGAGGATCTATGTTGTATAGAAATTACACATTTGAAGTTTGAACACTCTCGATCGAATCATCTTTCAATAAACACTTTTTTAAATATTTCCACATAATAACAACAAATAACATAATTATAATTATAATATTTAATTCAATTTATTTATGCTAAAAATTATAAACCTTTAAGCATCATTTTACGAAATTAATTATTAATTTTAAGCTAGTTAACATAATTTTTTATTGCACAATCAATAAACAAAATATGAATAAATTTTTTTATGGGATCAACAAAATTATAAATTTTTGTAACATCAAATAATTAAAATATGATAAAGTATTTATTTTACGGTAGGTAATACACGGAAGCAAATCTAAATTCAGATTACGATCTTATTGAGATTATAGGATATGGTGATCATCATTCATTTATTAAAAATACGCCTAAAATTGTAGTATTAATGTTACATTAAGTTCTAGACTCGTAAATAAATATGATACGATATTTTTTTTTTTTGTTTACTTATTTATTTATTTATTTATTTTAAAAAAAGAAAAAAGAATTGTTTAATTTATGCAAGTATTATTTGTTTTTTCTTTCTCTCTATTTTTTTTTNTTTGAAAAAGTAACATTGCATTGTTACGCAAAAAAAAAACCAATATGTATGCAATGTATGCATAAGATGCATAAGATGCAATAGATGCATACTTGGAGTAATGTACCCGAGTTGAAATTTGTTGGGCACATTTATTTGTATTGTACTCTCGGCGCTAAAAATAAACAAATGAATGATTTAATCAGCAAAGATTCTAATAAAATCAACATTTAAGTCCTCATTCAATCCTTCTGCTCCTACAATTAGACTAATTAATGCGAAGAACAATTTCATAATAAAATAAGTAATTAAGTAATAATAATAATAATAATAATAATAATAATAATAATAATAATAATAATAAATATGCATCTGTATTAAAAAAAAAGGTGGCGTTTTCAAACGTACGAATTATTATTTTCAAAAAATTAATTTTTCTATATAAAAACGAAAAAAATCCCTTAATTCTTAGGCTATCCTTGCATGAAAGAGACTTGTTTATTTTTGTTACAAAAATAAATAAGTTATTTATTTATAGATTTTTAACATCAAAGTTAATATAATGGTAAATTCGGATAGGATAAAATAAAAGAGAGATTAAAGGTTGTTGTGATACCATGCGATATTTCAAAAACGCCCATTTTCCCATTGTTTTATTGTTTTAAGATTCACGGATTTCAAATTTCTTTAATTTCTTCACAAATAAAAATAAAACAAAAAAAAAAAGGGTCTAGACGCATTATGTAACATGATGCAAATATTATACGCGTAATATATATGATATATAATATATATGCATTATTTGACGCGATAAACGGCTCATGGTGAATTTTTTAATTTCCGAATATTAATTGTAATACCTAGCTATTATTCATATAAATATTCCCCTAAAATTCTTCTTTGTGTTGTACTAATTATAAATAATTCACATATATGGTTGTTTTTAAATTTTTATTAAAATTTAAAATAAGTCTAGATTGAACTGTGATATAACTGAATCGTATTACATAATAGTCGTTTTTGAAAACCAGTTAAAATACTTAAAATATTCTCGTTTAATTGAAAATCTCCCGATTTGAATATTATACATAAACAAATATAGTAACAATTACTGTAATTACTATCAGTTATGATTCTGGCCTACATTATAATTCTCAAAATCTTATGACAAAAATATCAACCAATCAAATTAAATGACTAAGATGTCCCCAAATTACCAAATTTAAATTTTATTCAGAATATCGTTTATAAATTATATTTTATATTAATTGATAAAATGAAGTGTATAATAGTACGAAAAGGAGAAAAGAACAAAAATTATTGATTTTTTTTCACTCAATATTCTTTTCTCGCCCCGAATAGAATTGGTGAATAATCCTAATCCTCCCTTAATTAATTTAAAGTATTATGATTTAATTATGAAGCAGTTTTTTCGTGAAATAACTAAAATTCGTTCCTGGTCGATGAGATTAATATCGAAAATTAATTGTTCACTGTAGTAAAATTAAGTATTGTCCTTTGTATTACATGTTAGTGTCACTACTCTCACGATCATGCATTATAACGTTGATCCAGAATGACCAGAAAAAGGGTATCCAATTAAACACTATTCACTAATATTATAACGCCTTTTTTGTTAATGGATCTACTTGATTTTCTTCATCACGATATTATTCCTAAGAACGGAGGGTGATCATTTCAGTCAAGCACGAATCATCTTTTAACGGTCTAACCTCTTTCTACTCGATAGTCCCGATACTATTCATACAAAATCTTCCAATTTTTTTACGATTCAGCAATTAATTCGAATGATTATTTTTAGAATTTCGTGTGAATTGAGATAGCAGATCTATCAATGAAGATTGAGCCTTTTTAAGTTATATGAAGTTTATATTATATGATAAGAATTTCTTTAAATAATAATTCCATTCGAAAGGGTTATCATGAAATAAAAAAAGACCATGTAAAGTTGCGATCATCTAACCTGGTATTTTTCTATAAATGATCACTCTGAAACACTTTTTTTTTTTAAAAAAAAAAAAAAAAAATCCCCCCTTTTTTTTAAAAAAAATAATATTGCTATTTTCATAAAAATGTTACGGTATTCAAGTCCATTAGTTCAAGTAATAATCGTCGGTAAGTTAACCAAATGTTAACGCATTATTTAATTTAATGTAATTTACGCGTACCAAATTTTACTTTTTAATCAATTAGGAGTTATATGCTTGCTCAATCCTGGCATGTTTAATGCGTTAAATGGAATTGGAGGAGCAGGTCAACTTGATACCACGGTTGCGGCGAATGCAAATGTAGCATTATATACGTGTTTTTCCATAGGAGGATTATTTGCGGGCGCAATTGTTAATAAGTTGGGTCCATCAATTTCATTGGCTCTTGGTGGATCAACTTATGCTTTATATTCAGGTTCATTATTATATTATAATCATAAACATCATCAAGCATTTCCAGTTACGTCAGGTGCTATTCTTGGTTTTGGCGCAGCACTTTTGTGGACGGGTCAGGGTGCTATCATGTTATCTTACCCTACCGAACGTAACAAAGGGAAATATATTGGATTATTTTGGATTATTTTTAATTTGGGTGGTGTACTAGGAAGTTTGATTCCAATCGCGTTAAATTGGAACGGTACAAACGGTGGTAACGTAAATGATGGAACATACATTGCATTTTTAGTGTTAATGGGACTTGGTGCTTTATTATCTTTAACTTTATTACCACCGCATAAAGTAACTCGTGATGATGGAAAACCTGTTGAAGTACAAAAATTTCCTAAATGGAAGGATGAATTTACTCAAGTTTTTAAATTATTTCTTGATTGGAGAATGTTGATTTTAATTCCAATGTTTATCGCTAGTAACTGGTTTTATGCGTATCATTTTGACGTGGTGAACGCGGGTTATTTTAATATTAGGACAAGATCATTTAATAATTTATGGTATTGGGCTGCTCAAATTGTAGGTGCTATGGGATTTGGAAAATTCCTTGATACACCTTTATTGGGAAGAAAAAGTCGAGGAATTATAGGATTGTTTATATTATTTATTATGATTATGGCAACTTGGGCTGGAGGTTTAGTTTTTCAATTAACATTTACCAGAAATGATGAAAAAAAGAATTTTGATTTATTCGATAGTGGGTACGCCGGGAAATTTATACTTTATTTTTTATATGGAATAAATGATGCGATGTATCAGGTAAAAATAAAGTTAACAAACAAAAAAAAAAAATGATGTCAATTAATTTATATTTCAATTTTTAATAGTGTTATGCGTATTGGATTATGGGATCACTTACAAACAATGCGAGCATACTAGCACGTTATTCAGGGTATATATCGTTTTATTATTTATAGTGAAAATCTTATATATAATAAATTGATTTTTTTCTTTTTTTTTTTTAGATTTTATAAAGCAATACAATCAGCTGGAGGTGCAATCTCATGGCGAATAGATGCAGTAGGTACACCCTATTTGGTCGAATTGTTGATTTGTTGGGCTTTATTGGCAATTTCTTTTCCTTGTACTTTTATTGTCGCAATGAAGATCAAAGAAACTAGTGATGAAGTTGATAGTGAAAAGACGGGACGTGAAATATCAAACTCAGAAAATGTGGAACGTAAGGGTGGTGAGACTAACTCGGATGCTATTTAACGATAAAATAATTTTGGAATAATTTTTTTTAACTCTCAATTCACATAATACTTTATAATTTTATTTTTTTTTTTTGGATTTTTTTTAATATAATATATACATATATATATATCGTAAAAACTATAAGAAAGCAGCGATCAGTTCTCACCATAACCTAATGATCGCCCTATATAGATGAAAACTTCAGTTAACTCGTTAGCTGTAATTCTCTTTTTATGATCATGTAATAGCATCTTATCAGTGATAAGATGTATTAATAATTTATCAATATTTTTTTTCATCAGTGGTTCTTTCGGAATAGTTCTTTTGATAATATTGATTGGTAATAAATCACCCCTATAATCCTCATCCTCATTAAAAAATGGTGAATAGAGTCCAGATAACAATAAAAATGATATAACTCCAAAAGCCCATATGTCAACTGACGGTTTGTAAAGATCATGAACTTTATAAACATCAGAATTTAATGCGTGATGTATTTCTGGAGGTGTATAATGAGGTGTCCCACACAATGTCATATCTCTATCAGACGTTTCAATATTATAATATTTAGCTAATCCAAAATCAATTAACTTCAGTCTGGAATGTTCTTTATCTACCCACATTATATTTTCTGGCTTTAAATCCCGATGTACAATGTTCTTTTCGTGTAAATATTTTAACGCGTCTAATATTTGGAATGATATATCATAGTATTCTTTTTGGCTAACACTCTTTACTTTACTTCTATATTTTTCTAAATCTTCGTACATCATTTCTTGCCAAATCAGAAGTCGGTCCGGTTCAATATAGAATCCAAGAACTTTTATGATATTGATGTGACTCAAAGATTGGAGTAATTTTGGCTCTTGGCATAACTTGTTAAAAGTATATTGGTTAACATTCTTTGATTCTTTTACAATTTTACAAATACAATCCTTGATATGTTTTTTATTTTTCATATCACTTGCACGATATATCACTGAATGTGCTCCCTCGCCAATTATATCATATTTGTTCTTGAATCGGTCGCTATATATTTCTGGCGCTTCTATCTCCTTTTCTTTTACTCTTTTCATATATTCATCATGGAACACAAAAACCATGAGTTGGTTGTTATTGTTTCCGAGTTTAATTACGTCATCATTAAACAACAATTGTTTTCCGCGCATTTTTAATTTACTATCGTTGACATAGGTTACATATTTTTGTGTATTCATAGTCTTTTCTTGAATAAAAGTGTCCCAGACTTGTTGATTTTCTTTTTTACGTAAATAGACGAAACAGTGAAATGGGGCAATAAACACCTCGTTATCAATATATCCTTTTCCACATGCGTCATCACTACCAATTATTATAGATTTCTGATTCTCTGTAAGTTCAATATACTTTTGAACGTTTCGACCTTTAAAACATGAGATTACCTGTAAAGACATTTCTTTAATAATAAATATTAAAAAATAATGATCAGATTATATATAGTTCTTATTTGTTTATCAGTGTTGATCATATGATGCAATGTTACGTCAATGCTTAGGTTAAGACTTACGAATCACGATCAACCATAAAAAATTCCTCGTCTCTTACAAAAACTTGATTATGTTTTGTGCAAGTGAGTTATTAAATCACATTTTGTTTTTCATATACATTTTTAAAATGCAAATACTGATTGTATATACATGCACGTATATATTTTAGTTTCCGGAGAACCTCCACAGGAACCCGTAGTTTCGAAAAAATCGGGACAAGTTTATGAAAAAAGATTGATCTTAAAATACATTGCTGACTATGGTAAAGATCCAATTACCGGGGAAGATACAAAGGAAGATGATTTATTAGAAATAAAAGCAAGTAAGTTCCAAACAATGTTTTAGACGAGAATTAATATAATGATGATCAAAATGAATAAACAAATCAACTAGAAGCTGTTGCTGAAAAAACCTTGATTAGAATTAAATTACTGAGTCCATTTAAGGAACATTTCCATTTTAAGATCAATTGACAATAATTTTTAGTAATAAAAATAATAATTTATATAATTAGGTCCAAAGACCGTAAAGCCAAGACCTGCTACTTTGACATCAATTCCATCTCTTTTGTCAGTCTTTCAAAATGAATGGGATAGTTTGATGTTAGAAACTTTTACTCTTAAACAACAATATCAACAAGTTCGACAAGAATTAAGTCAGGCTTTATATCAGCACGATGCTGCTTGTCGAGTTATCGCTAGACTAATGAAAGAAAGAGATGCTGCTAGAGAGTGTGTGATTTTTTTTTTTTTTGAGTATTTAATCACTATTCAATCATATGTGATATTTATTTTTTCTAATATTTCAAAAAAAAAAATTAAACTAGAGCCTTAGCAAGCGTACAAGCACATATTGCTATAAAACCTCCTCCGGAAGCGGTTGCTTCAGAAAGTCAAAATATGGAAATCGAGGAACAAGAAAGAGGCATCAATGAAGTTGTTATTAATAAACTAAATGAAACTAGTGCTGTGTACGTATATTATTTTTGTTATTGATTAATATGATGTGCATGTGCACATTACATTTTCGATACACTTAATTAATTTTACATGTCAAAATCATAGACTATCGAAAAATCGTAAGAAAAGAAAACCACCCCCAGAACTTACTTCACCTGATACAATTAGAACCTTTACACAAAATTTTTCAATCGGTTCTTTGCATACTTCAACTACACCTGGAATAACGTCTATGGATGTTGATCAAACAGAACAACTAATTCTTACAGGCGGTAATGATAAAAAGGCGCTTATATTGAATAAAGAGGAAGGTAAAGTCACCAGTCAATTAAAGGGGCATACAAAAAAGATTACAGATGTATTATGGCTTGGAAATCCTAATGAAGAAGGTTATGATACTGCATTTACCGCGAGTGTTGATAAAACTATCAGAATATGGCAAAAGACTGATAAAGATTACAAGACTAAGTCTACTATTTCAGCGCATACCGCTGAAGTCACAGGTATCTCAGTGCATGCTACTAAAGATTATTTGGTATCTGTGTCAAACGATTCAACATGGGCTTTTCATGATATTCACACTGCCCAAACGTTAGTAAAGACTGAATCAAATGATGTGACAAATGGTTATTCGACTGTAGAAATTCATCCTGATGGACTTATCCTGGGAACTGGAACAAATGATTCTATAGTTCGAATTTGGGATATCAAAACGCAAAAGAATGTCACATCATTTACTGATCATACTGGGCGTATCACTTCGATCGCATTCTCAGAAAATGGCTATTATTTAGCAACGGCATGTGAATATAATGCAGTCAAATTATGGGATTTAAGAAAGTTGTTAAACTTTCATACTATACAACTTGATGAGGGAGCAAAAGTTAATAAAGTATGCTGGGATTACAGTGGTCAATATTTAGGTGTTTGTGGAACAGATGTTAGGTAAATTTTATTCATTATTATTAAAAAGTAAATTTTTCTACTAGTTATTTCGTTATTATTTACATTCTTTATTTTCCCTTTTAGAATTTATCAAGCAAAATCATGGAATCAGTTGGCAGTTTTTACAGATAATACTGCTGAAGCTACAGATATGAAATTTGGTGAATTGGGAAAATCTGTATATGTTAGTGGTTTAGATCGTACTTTAAGATTTTACGGTGAGCCTACGGAGGAATAAATTTTCCTACGAAAAATGAAAATGAAAGGTTTTTTTTTTTTTTTTGTATTCATGTTTTACGTCAAATTTACTTGGAAATAGAATAATATATTAGATGAAAAAAAAGTTTAGTTTATTTGAAAAACTAGTATTATTATAAATTTTATTAATAAAATAAATAAACTCTATAATTGTGGACCCAATTATTAAAATTGGCTTTTTAATGCTGGAATGCTGGTGGAAGATCACATTTACCAGGATTTTTAACACACCACAAAGGTTGCAACGGTTCCGCTCTGATTCCTCTTGCCACCATTCTGAATCTCCAATCATTTAAACGAGGTAATGCTTCTTTAGTTGTTCGAGGGTTAACATTTTCATCATAATTTCCTGACCATAAAATTTCAGCTGCTGATGATGCCCTTGGCCATAATTTAGTTTCAAAATTTGTTGGATCTGCTTGTTCAGACCACAATAACGTCTCACCTGTTAAAATATAATAATAATCGTTTGAAAAAAAGTAAATTACGCGAAATAATTAATAAAACCTATTTGTATATACCTCCTATAACAAGTTTAGCTTCTTCTTTTGTAAGGTCTTTAATTGGATTATAAGAATAAATCCTTTGCCAATGTTTGAACGGATCACACCTAAGGACAAAAAATTTAAGAAATCATTTCAAGATTGTACAATTTAGAAAATCTTTCGTGTTAAGATATTTACCAACTATTTCCATCCGGATTATCGCCAACCCAACCTCCATGACCACAATCCAAATACCAATAATCAGCACTACCGGCAATCACTCTATAACCAAGTCCAGTAACTTTTTTGATATTATCTTCGGTTGTCCAAACTTGAACAACAACATCCTTAGGTAAAGGTAATTTATGTTCAACAACCATTTCCTGCCAAGTAATTGGAGTTTTACCACTTTTCCTAACGAGTGAATGAAGCTTATTAATGAACATTCCCAATAAAGTTTCATAAGTATCATTCGGATGTTCTTTGAGATAAGCAGTAACAGAATCAGTTACTTTCCAACAATTCATTACAACTTCATCGCCGCCAGCGTGATAAAATTCATCGGGAAACCATGATGTCATCTCTGGAATAAGATTATTTAAGAATTCATAAGTGGCCGGTAATATTGGATTCATTTGACCACTTGGAGGAGCTGCAGAATAATTATTCCAGTCTGGTTGAACGTCTGGACAAGTAATGATCTCAGGCATACTATAAGAGATGGCAAAAGTATGTCCTGGCATATCAAATTCAGGAATAACACGAATTCCTCTCTAAATAACAAAAGGAAATTCAGTTACACAATTCTAAATAATTCTGAATTAAATTCTTTTTGATATATCTTCTTTACCTGATGAGCAAATTCTACAATCGTTTTGATGTCCTCTTTAGTATAAATCATAGTATCCGGATCATAAGCTCCTTTTTCACTTAATTCTGGATAAACTTCGCTTTTAACAGGCCAACTATTGGCATCAACTACGTGCCAATGGAATACATTAAATTTATTCCAACTCATAACGTCTATCATTTTTAATAAATCATTAACTGGATAATAATTTCGTGAAGTATCTAATAGTAGACCACGATGAGCAAATATAGGGTAATCTCTAATATAATGGGGGGCGAAAGGTATAAATAATTCTTTTTTCTCTTTACTAAAATAAAGTAATTGAGTAAATGTATTTAATCCATGTAAAATTCCAAAAATTGTCGAAGCTTTAAGGTGAGCAATCAAAGGTTTATTATTTTCATCACTGGTATAAGGAATTGATAATTCATAAGATTCATCAGTATTTAAGTTCAATTTTGATGATTTATCTCCTGTGATTTCAATGTTTAAGGAATGTAATGTCAATGAATTCTCGGAAACTTCGAAATGAACGTTTGGTGAAATATATTTTTCGTTAACTAAAAATTCTCGAAATCGATTTTTTGCTCCTTCAAAAATTTGTTGTGTTAACTCCTCGGCTGTCTCAATGTTTGTACATTTTATATCAAGGCTTGGAAATATTTTCAATGATTCGTTCCCTTTTAACCAACTTTGTGGAATTGGCCACATTGCTAATACTTCACTACTATATAATATATAAAAAAATAATATATAGGTAAGGTAAAGTCCCGACATTTGTATTTTATTTGTAATTTTTCTTTTTTATTGAATCTAACTTACTAAGTTTAACGTCGAAAATCGGTAGAAAATGGGCAATTATGCGATGTATAAACTTAATCAGCTTTATCAGCTTGTAGATTTAAGATCACATGATTTGTATTTGAAACATCACTAAGCCAGGTTCGTAAGCCATGCCGAATATTGTTGCACATTACACCAATTTGGTATTACACCCGCATGTTATACAAGTTAATAATTAAAAAAAAACTACTACAAAAAGCTACTAATATTTATTAATATCGTATCTTTGCAATTTACACATCTCCTTTGTAGATATAAATTCTTTAATACTCGAACAAAATTACACTTTAAGTAATTTCAGAAGATTAAAAGATTACCCTGTTCACAAATTGGAAAAATCATAGCTCAAGAATCGTCATCATCAATTCCTATTACATATAGAGAACATTACGACATACCTCCCAGTGACACTTCACAAACTCCCGTAAACATAATAGCCAAGATTATTACTGCTAGAAATTTAATTTCTCGATTTTAACTCATTAATGAACTTATATTTTACTCAACCAATCTATAACTCTTGCCCTCTTTTCAACAGTCCCAGCACTTTCAGCATCATCATTTGTCAAATCAATAACTTCAATTTCCTTCTTGATTCCGTTATTTTCATCCAATGGACGTTTGTTATTTCTATTATTTTCTTTCTTGACTTTGTTGTTGTGATCATTTTCATTTTTAATTTCACATTTGATAGTATTATTCGGTTTTATACCATCATTATTATTACTTTGCGGTAAGTTGTTTATTTGATTAGCAACAGCTCCTCTATTGAACGACAAATTTGGAAAACTAGGAAAACTAGGTGGATTTTGAACTTGAATACCTCGCATGGCAAGCCAAGAAGCTGGTCGATAATGAAGGTGTAAAACTGCAATTGGATCATTACTTTCTTTAACCATGTCATAATAACAAATATGATTACGAACATTTCGAGGTATAAAATCTGTAGTACATTGAATTCCAAATGTTTTCTTACTCTCCTTCACTCTAGCTTGTTGAATATCAAATGAAGGTATATTAACGTTTTGTCTCAGGACTGAACGACCTTTGTAAAAATAAATGGAAATAGCACCAATTCCACCTCGTAAATTAAGAGTATTATTAGGAGTACTTGATGATTCGTCATAAATTGAATTAGAAAAAATAAACTCGAGTTTCTTATCTCTTGTTGCATTAAGAAAACAATCTTGAAATTGAACTGTACGAGATTTTAGGCCGCGATATGTCTTATCGAATTGCCCATCAATAAGTGTTTCAGCCATCATTGGGTTCTTTGAAGACGCTTTCGTTGAAAAAAATCTTAATTTGAATTTTTTTCCAGGTTCGGCGATAATATAATGATTCGAATCACTATATGTAAGGAAAAATAATACGAAAAAAATTGTTCAAAATAAATTACAACAATATACGCAAAATAACACAAAATTATTCTATTTACCTGTAAATTGGTTGTTGGGTATTTCCTTGAAGTGTGTAAGACTTGCCGGTAGTCAACTTTAAAAAAATAGACCAAAATTATTTTATAACCACTACTTTATTTCAATTAATATTTTACTGACTTACGTTAGTTTCACTATCAGATATAGCATACTCGACAAGAGGCATTTCATCCACTAAAACTTCAAATGAGAAACCGTTTAAAATCATGTTTGATATTATTTTCACTTTGTAAAAAAAAGAACACAAAAAAAAGTAGTAGTTTAGTAAGAACAGAGATTCTGATGCATTATATAAAAAAAGTCGCGTGTGATCTTCACGATTAAATATAGATTTTTGATAATGTACTACTGTGTGCGACCAAAAAATTACGCGTATAAGTGCTGCAACACTATTATATATATTGAAGTGTTTCTAATATTTACACTCAGATCTAGATCGATATACCGATCTATATTAAAAATTCGAATAACGACAATCTTTTACCTTCCCACTATATGAGAGAACATATAAATATCGGTATAATTTTAGTTTCAAATATTTCATATGACAGATATCGTCATATTGGAGTTTGAATTAAAGTTGAGTGTGTAAAAATTAAAAAACGATAATCAGAAAAGCTTTCAATCGAAAAAGATACGTTAAACTTCATTAACACCCGCGATAATTTTCGTGATTTGGATGTAAGGGTATTATGAACATTTAATGTTTAAGAATAATAAATTCACGAATAAGTAAGTAATTGGATGTTTTTTAGACATTAAATTGTCTCAATCCGAATTTTTTTACCGAGCATCTTAATCTAAGGTGGCCTTATCCTAAACCGGAAGGTATAATGAAATGATTGTATATTTTTCTAACTTTTCGTGTTTTTTGGTGTTCCGGATGAACCGCAATCCGTGAAAATTTGTTGACGGATAGTTCTAAAAATGATCATCTGATAAGATATATTAAATCTACTTTTTTAGCATTTTCGTACTAATTTTTATCAATCTCCCGTGTTTGAAAGAAGTCTTTTACCATAATTATCTAACTACGTCCAAATAGATGAATATGCTGAAATATCATAACGGTTTGACGTATCAGTTTCTCAACGTCAACATTTGAACACCACCTCTTTTTGATTTGAATTTATTTGGGTCTATATTTGCTGAAAAATAAGTTCAGATGCTTATTGTGTCTAAGAAGTAAGATTTTATCTTGTACGTATAAACCAAATGATTTAATTTAAAAATTAAAAATTTCTTCATTGAGAACAAAACGAAAAGTGTTATATTTGTACGTTTTTTTTAATACATAAAATTTGTGTACTCAATTGCTTCAGTATATATAAAATATAAATAAAAAATTAACTTCGTTATCGAAAAGAATTATTAAATTTTAAATTATTTACATTAGTATTAGTTAATATTTTAATATCCGTTCATCCGGTTATATCAGCAGATTTTAAGAAATTGTTCAGATATGATCCGTACGGATCAGATCATCACTGCGCGATCTTTTTCAATTTTCACTCCGTTAGCCGTAAATTCCACTCGGAAAGGTAATATTGTTATTTTTCTTTTTTTTTGTTTTAAGTAATGAATTATTTATATCACTTTATTTTATGGTTCAGTTAAAATAATTTTTAAATACATGTATGCTGAAAATTTAGAAACAGAATGTGTGTAAGTGAAAAAGTGACAGGAATATATTGCTAGACTTAAAAAAAGAACTTGCCAGTAGTTTTATTTACAATTTATAGTGAAAATGAATATATGATGACGAGATTGTGTTTCGCAAAAATCATTATAAATTACGATAAAATCACTTTTTCTCGTAATTTTTTAAGGTCAAGAAACAAGTAAGTGATTCTCACAAGAATGTAAAAATTTTACATCTAATTTTTGTGTCATATGTGTTATTTATATTGTACCATTTGTTTCTTGTTATTCGTGCTGCGTCATTTATAACTTTTATGATTGAAGGTCTGCTAAGGAATCAGTTATGTATCTTCTTTCTAACAGTTTTAGAATTCGAGGAAAATATTGCAGGAAGGAAGGAGGATGGGAATCAGAGGCGGAAGACTTATGTGATAGAAAACCAAAGTAAGTCTATTAAATAATAATTTAATGCTTGCTAATAGTACAAAATACTCATTTTTCTCATGCTTTTCTTTCTGCTTATTGTCAAACTATTTCAAGATACTGAGGATAATAAAACCATGAAATTGAATAATCATTGAATGCCATGGGAATTTACACTTATAATAGATCAAAACTAGTGATCAAACCAAGAATGATGTATCATGAATTCAATAATTAGAAAATTGAGATCAAAAAATTAACTATCTTCCTTAATATGAAAAGAGAAAGATTTTGTAAGATTTTGTAAATCTAGTAATCAGAATTGCAATAAATAAGAAACCAATGATTAAAATTGCTTCAAATTTTGTAGATTTGTTGCCAAATGTGTTATGTATATAAATTATCAGTCTTTTATCTTATTTCTTTGTTTCACAATTGATTTTTTAATTCAAAAAAAATTATAAAATATTTAACCTATAAAAAATCTGAAACTTCTGATATAGCATTTTAAATTGTAGTTCATTAAAAGGTGAATGATTATAAATTAAAGTATATATCAAGTTAATTTTATTAAAAAAAATTTGATTATTGAAAAATTTGAGATTAAAATTTCTTTATTATATTGATTACAATCTAACTTTAACTCTTAATTTTAGTAAAAAGAACTAAAATTCAAAATTAAATTTAAATTATAAGAATTATAATAAAGTTTTTTTAATGTTAGTTTAATAATATTCAAAATATTTCAATTAAAATAAATTTAATATATCTAAAATTTATTTTATTTTAATGATCAATTTATAGAAAAACTAACTAATTAAATAATAACCAAATTTTTTTTTATAAATATATAGAAAATAACTACATTTAATCAGAGAGAAAATTTCCTCCTTCTAATATTTATTAAAGTTAGAATTAGAATTAGAATTAGAATTAGAATTAGAATTAGAATTAGAATTAGAATTAGAATTAGGTTAGAATTAAGTTAGATTTATTTATCACAATATTTACATACACTCTATAATCTTCATTTTTGTTAGTAATTAATTTGAAACCTCAAAAATTTTTTGTTATTAAAAATCCTATTTGTTACCTTTTATTCATTATAAAAAGAACTTTCCTTTCAGTTAAAATTAGAAATTTTTAATTATATATATTGATTATTAATAACTAAAAGTAATATTAAATTTTTATTAAATTCTATCTTTACTTAAATTTTTACTGGTTTTTTTTTTTGAAAAAAAAATCAATTGTAAGATAAGAAAATAAATAAAAAACTGAAATTTTATATATTTAAATTTAATATTAATCCATTTAGCAACAGATCTGCAATTTCAATTACTAATTGCTCATTAGATTTTTTACTTTATCCAAAATGAAATTATTGAAAAAAAGTTAAGAAAATGCTTTTATTTAATAAGGTTATTTTAGTATTTGCAAAATTATTTTGCAAAATAAATTAACTGCAAAGGTGATAATTTTTTTAAATAAAAAAAAAAAAAATTTTAATATTAAAAAATTAATTATATCTCTTACCAAAAATATATATTTTAATAAACAATTTTAATAATAAATTATTTTGCTTATATTAAACTAAATATACTATAAATAATACATATTTTAAGAAATAATATTATATTTGAATAAAAAAGACACTATATAAGCTGTTACTTAATTATTGTAATAATTTTTTATTTCAACTCTTATTTAATCTTTTTACTATTTTTACTAATACTTTAATTCAATTTTTTTTTTATAATAATAAAAAAATGTATTTTTATAAGAATTTTATTTTTTATTTATTTGCAATATATTGCACTCTAAGCATTTTGTTAAAATTATATAATATTAAGTAAAATTAAAATATGTAATATTTAATTAAAGTATAAAAAATAGATTTTTTATAACTGAAGAATTTTAAGTCTTTAAAATACATATAAAAAATGAAGGAAAAAAAATATAATATAGATAATAAAAAGGATGTGATACATAGCAAGTATGATAAATTAATTATAAAATTCTTTTATAAATTGTAAAAAAAAAAATAAAGATAATATTTCTTTATATAAACAGCTTACTTAATATGCAAATAGAATTAAAAGTACAAATTTACCAATTAATTAATTTGTTAAATCAGACTTATTTGAATTAAAAAAATCAATCCTTGAATACATTAGCAAATTTTAACTGAATCTTAATAGGACCCTGAATATACTAATATAACTCATAAGTAAACTTTAAGTACTGAAGTAAAAATACATTTTATGATATAACTCTATCAATATTGAAGCTAGAAATTCGATTTTACTATCATTAGAATTTAGAATTTTCTTATTGAGACGAATCTAATGATATAAATTTTATTAAAATCGAATTACTGGTTATATTAAAGGCAGGATATATAGGATAATAAAATTTTGAAAACACTTCTGTAATACGCAATTTTTGAAAAATTTTAATATAAATTCTACACAAACTCAAATATGAGTTGTATTAGTATTGTTCGGAATCTTATCAAAATGTATAAATATAGGTAAAATTTGATAAGAATTCTATAGTTAGTTTTGGTTTAATAAAAGAAATATTAATTATTTTAAAGTTTTTTAAATATGTTTATTGTTTACTTGAAGATTAATTAACATTTATTTTTAAATGATAAACTATAGAGAAACTATTTAAGTTTAAAAATAGAAATAATGATAAAGTTTTATAAGAGTAATTATTAGATTTAAAAGTTAAATAACAATAAATAAAAAGTTTAAACCAAACAGAAATAAATCAATGTTTTATTAATAAGAATAAAGAATATTTGAAGAAAATAGGTTATTGTCTATTAATATGTAGTAAATACCAGTCACAACTGATAATACTGTTCAAATTCTTTTATTTTTTTAAAAAAATTGGTTCTATATTCATACATTTGGACATTTATATCTATCAAAATAAATTCCTTTTTTTGAAATTATAGAATAAATCCAAGTCTTTATAACTATACATATTTTAGATATTTTTTTAAAAATTGATGGTTATTCTCATTTGTGAAAAAAAAGTATTATTAACAAAAATTCTATATAATTTTAGTGTAATTTTTCCTTTATTTTTATAAATAAATTTCAAACTTTTTTAATAACATCTTTATTATCAATAAATGATTTTATTTTTTAATGACAACCTTGCAATAATACTGGTAATACACCATTTTCAATCCAGCTTTTTGCTAATTTATTAATTATTTTTACACAATATAATCAACTTTTTTGCTGCATTAAAAATTGCATTTTTATGAGTCATACCCTTTTTTTTTTAATTAATAAAAACTTATAAATTGAACGTCAAACGATATTTTAAATAATTATATACTAAAATTTTTTTTTATTTTAATGGAAGATTATTTCAAAAGCTTCTATTTTATTAGAAAAATTATTATTAATATCCATTTCATTTTCAAATTCTTCAGAATCTTTGTCTGATTCTTCATTTGGTTTTTCAACTAATTTTTTATCTGATTTTTCATCTAATTCTTTATCTAATTCTTTATCTAGTGATTCTTTATCTGGTAATTCTTTATCTAATTCTTTTTCTTTTATAATTTCAAATTCTGCTTATAAAAGTTGGGTTGTAAAATACTGAGTATAGTCAGATCCCTATATAGTTATTTAATCGATTAATGATTATATATAGGGCTTTTATTATGATGTGATTATACAACTGAAAAATTTTTTTATATAATAATATATATATTAATACTTTTCAAAGGTGTGATTATATAGAGGAATTTTATATAATGTGACTATATGGAGTGTAATTATATAGAGATCTGACTGTAATTGGTAAAGAATCTTTAGCTACTTTAGTATATATTTTTGATGGATCATACTTTCTATAATATGATGCAGTAGAATTTCCAGTATAAAGTGTTCTTTTTTTATCAGTTTTTGGAATTTATTAAAAATTGTTAAAAATTTGTAATAAAAAAATAAATTCATTATATTAAAAAAAGAATTATAAAACCTTTATTTATCTAAACAAAAGATAGTTCTTCTAATTTTAATATTCTTGAGTACAATAATTTTCATTTGAACTATTTGTTAAATAATTATTATCAGATTCATATTTGTACTTATCTGAATATTGCATTACAAACTGACTAGAATTTATATTATGAAGTTAATTTTTTTAATAGCTAATTTTTTACAAGAAATAGGAAGAATATAATTTGTAATAAATAAAAACTACAAAATTTTTTTTTTCAAATTTTTCTAACAAAATGTGGATAAATTTATAAGCTAGAATAATTTATTTGTACAAGTACTATTAATGATATTTTTTTATATTACATAAAAATTACTTATTTTCAAATTTTTCCTATCATAGTAAATTACCTGATTGTTAAAATTTACTATTTTTTAATTTAACCCAACAAGTTTAAAAGCTATTGATATATTTCATTAAAATTATTGGTTAGAATTTTAAAATATTATTTTTTAATAATATCTTTTTAAAAATATCATATTATAATTATATAATTAGGTTGGTTATAAAGGTATTGTACTATATAAACAAATGGATCAGAAGGATTAGGTGTTAATGATATTACTAATTTTATGTTTATGATTATAAATTAGTACAAATCATATATAATGTATTGAATTAATAAATTATTCTTTAGCTTAATAATGATATAAAAAATTGCAATAACTTGGCTAGTTTCAGTATAAAAGTATTTCTGTTTTGATATATAATATATCTAAGATTTTATTATTTACGTAAATATGAAAGTTTTTATATATCTACAATATAGCAAGATTTTTTCATTTTATATAATACAATAATAATATACTTAAAGTTTTTTATAAATATTATTAAACATAATTCTATTTTAAGTTACATTATTTTTTGCTATTAATTATTTATTTATATTTAGTTTTTTATAAAAGATAACACTACAAAAATCATATTATATACCAATTAAAAATAAAATTACTTTTAAGTGAAAGATTCATACAGTAATGCCAAATTCACTAATTTCTAATAAAATAAAAAAGCAAATAAAAAAACAAAATATATTTATTTATTATTGTTATTTTCAATTTAGTGTGATTATAGTATAATACCTAAAAATAATCAATTTTTAAAAATTTGTAAATACCCATAATTTTTTTAAATAATCAGCTAGAAAAAGGTTGATTACTTATAATTACTGAGAAAAATCATGGAAAATTCCTAATTATTTAAGTAGTTTACTTATAAAAAACTGTTATTATTATATAAAATTAAAAAATTTGCTTATAAGTAAACTATTTGAAAAATTGAGATTTTTTTATAATTTCTATTGATATTCACAAGTTATCAACTATTTTTTAAATGATTTTTTAGAAAAATTATAGGTATTCACAAAATTTTAATAATCATATTTTTATAGAAGTGCTAGTTATGATCACATTAAATTGAAAATAGCAATAATAAAGATTTTTTTCAAGTACATTGTATTGTAATTATTTCTCTATATTACCTATTTATTATATAGCCATTTTTTTTTCAGAATATAAGAAGAAAAAGTAAAACTTTATATAAAAATGCGAGATTCTTAAATTTAGGGTATGTAGAGGAAATTTAAACTTCTGTAATACTAGAGCTGATAATTCCCTTTTTTATAATTTTGTATAATACCACATGACATCTTGACCAATGAGAGTAAGGTTACACAATATACATATATGGGATATAGGATAAATAGGATTATAATAAATAGAATGAAATAAATGGGATATAGAATGGAATATAAGTGGAATGGAATATGGAATTCTTTCAATCTCATTTATATAAGCAATAAGTATAATACTATTTATATAATATAGTTTTGGTACTTTCAGATTTTTTTATTAAGAATCTAATCTTTGGTGATTAGATTATCTTGTTTCTTATTAGTATTTACTAAACTTTCAACTAAAGATGGGTTTACAAATGATTTTTTAAATCCACAATATTGCAAATTTTGGAGTTAAATTGCGGTTAGTAACTCGCAATTCTGCAATTAACATTTTTAAATAATAATAAAAAGTAAAACTTTTTTTGAGGTTTTTTAAAATTATTTTAATAAAATTTTATTTATTTATTATAAATAATACTAGTATAAAGTTCGTCTTAAATACAAACTAATGAAATAATATAATTGCACTATTTCTTAGAAAGTGGATAATTTTATCCATTTTTTTAAAATAAATCTTACTGCATCTAAATTCTGGTTGTTTTTTTCTGGAAGCTTTAAAAAAAGAAAAAAAATAAATTATTAAATTTATTAAAAAAAAATAATAAAATCTCTCCAGTCCTTTGATTCTTTACCTTAATTTTACAGAAACTCTATAAAATTACAAAAAAGAACAAAAATAAATAAAAAAAATAGTGAAAACCTTTTGGCTAGTACTCCAAACGAGTTGAGTTGAGTTGAGTTGGCCCATCAAACCAAATTGAGTTGAGTTGAATTAAATCACGTGATTTTCTTCGGCTATGCTGATCATTTCCTTTTTTGGCGATAACCATTTACAAATTCCATTTTTGTAATTTTCAAAATTTTTCGTCTCGAATTTTGTGTAATATAATTTCCAAAAAAGGAAATTCTATGAATTTGGCCGGAATTATGTTTAATTTGGCTTAACTCGACTTGACTCAATTTTATTAAATTATTAACTCGATTCGACTCGATTCGATTTGATTGTAATTTTCAATTCGACTTGACTCGACCAACTCGTGAGTCAATTTGACTCATTTCAGAGTCTTTCAAATTTTAAAAGTCTGGTCATATTTTTTGTCTAGCAATTCTATAAAGAAAAAAAATAAAGTTAATTAGATTTATTAAAAAAAAAATAACAAAAACTTACTTTATTAAAAAATAAACTTTAAAAAAAATTAATGAAAACTCTATCCTGGCCTTCTCTTACTTCAATTTCAAAAGTCCAGTTATATTTTATGTCCAGTAACTCTACAAAAACAAAAAAAAAATCTATTAAAAAAAAATAAACTTATTAAAAAAATAATAAAAATTTCATCTTACCTCAATGAAGTTCGGTTATGCTTTATATCTGGCAATTTTACAAAAATGAATAAAAAATAAATTAATTAAAAAAAATTTAAAATAACTTCCTTTTTGTTTCCTCCTTACCTCCATTTCAAAAAGTATTTCAAAAAGTCCACTTTTGTACAGAATTTCAATAAAAAAAAAAAAGATTATTGTATCATCTGATAATCTAATTTTCAGTTTGTTCGCAAATATTCTGTAAATCTGCAAATGGTTGCTAGTACTGCAATTTTTCCGCAAATAAATTATGGTATTAGTGGCCATTTGCAGATTTGCGGAATATTTGCAGATTTGCAAATAATTATGGATTGCAGAATTGTGAATATTTAGCTTTCAAAAGCTGCAATATTTTGCAATACTGCAAATCACAATTATTTCGCAATTGCCTATTTGCGGCACTATCCTTACTTTCAATAGAATAATTTTTCATTTTTCAGAAAATAATATTCTTGCTTATATACAGTTAGCCCTTTCTATAGCGAATTTTGATATAACAAATTTCACGATATAATGAATTCTTAGTGTGATACGTATTTAATCATATGAAAAAAAATTTATTACACCAAATTTTACTAATAAAATGCAGTATAACGTTAAACGAAGAAAATTTTATAAATTCACATATGTAAATGACTCTTTTATACTGAATTTCTTTTAAAATGAATTTTTTTTTTAGTATAATGAAGATTTTGCAAGATAAATTTTAAAGGCAATTTAATGTTGATTTGATGAAATTTTTTTAAATAAGCAATTTTACCACTTTTAATTCATTTATCAAAAGATGGGTGGTTTATGTTTCAAAAGTTTCCTTTTCTTTTTCATGATCATGACGTTTTACAAATGTATTGATTTCCCTATATTTTATTATACTATATTATACCAAATTTTCTGCTATATCAAATAATCCATTATAGCATTAATGAATTTACTTATAATAAAGGTCTGATCAGCCTGGACGCTTACTTTGTTATACCGAGGGCCAACTGTAGTGCACTTTTACTATTAGTTGTATTTGTAATTAGAGAAAAGCTAATTGTAATAGATTTAAAAAAATAACTACTACTCAAATTGAAAAGTTGCTTCTGATTTTGATTAACTAATATATCTGCTCTATATTTAATTATATTAGTATTGATTAAAAGTATTTGGTTAGCATTATCATTATTATAAATATTTGTATAGATATAAATACAGATAGTAAATTTTTAAATATTATGGCCTTTACTTTTGGCAAATACTCCAGAAAAAACTTTAATAACTTTTCTTCCTTTAATATTATTACCACTACTATTATTATTACTATCACTGCCATTATTATTACTATCATTATCACCATAATTTCTATTATCATCTTCATTTTTATTACTTTTTATTTTTCCAAATCTTTACCTTTTCTTATTATTTGACTTATTTCCACTAAGTCTACTGGATTCTCCTGAAATACTACCACTATTACTATTACTTATGTAATTGGTTGTTTCTATCATTTCACATACAACTTTAAATTCATCATCATATATCTTTTTCAAGTTATTCTAGAGTTAATTTGCTTAAAGGTACTATTACCTAACAGGTAATGCATAGAAAGTTATAATTTCCATAAAAGTTAGAACCAATAAAATATACTAATTGTGATTTGAGTATATATACAATTAATACAATTCTTCTTATTAATAAGTAGTTTATATAATTGTTCAACTTTAATGAATAAATTTAAAGAAAACAGTATACTTTACACTACTTTTAATACTAGGTGGGCAAAAATAAATTCTATTATAGATAATATTATCCAGTGTTCGGAAATGACCTGGTCATTTGACCATTTAAATGATTTATGAAATCATTTGTTATTATTCATAATCATTTGTTATTTGGTCATTTCAATCATTTGATTTTAATTGGCTAATATTTATCACATAAATAATCATGTGACTATAATTAAAAAATAATGAATGTAATGTAGGCAAAAATCATAATGCTGGCCAAAATTACATTCAAATGATTAAAATTATTTGTCATTTGAGTATTGAAATGACATGTCATTTGTCATTTATTATTTGAATCATTTGGTCATTTCAAGTTATTTGCCGAACACTGATTATCATCAGCATCATATTTTTCTGTTTTGGCCATTTTTTCAAGTGAGATTGTCTCATTATGTTTTTTTCTTTTTTTAATATTGGATCAATTAGAACTGTACCTTTTAAATTTCTGTTACATATGTGATGATAAAAGTCACACCAGATGATACAGTATTTTTAACTAATCTTTGATTTTGATTATGAGAAGTGTTACCTTAGGAGTTGGTTTTATATTAATTTGTTCATAAATCTTTCTTTTGATATCAATCCACTTGTTTTCAAACCACTTACACATTCTGTTTTTAAACTCTAAAGACAATCTACAATAGAACATAGACCTAATCTATATTTAAATAACTATTCAAATTAAAAATATTTTTTCATTCAGTAATTATATCAACTATAATAGTATTAAATCATACCTGATAGTACTCAAGATATAAGGTATTTTTTTCTTACTTTTATTAACAACAAGATTCACTGCTTTTGTTACTAATATATCAACAATATTACATCCATCTTTAAACATCCAACCAGCTTTATTTTGTTTATAAATATATTAAATAACATAGTGTTTAGTCAATTTTTGATTCCATATCAAAGTTTGACTTTAGTTAATCTTTAGAATCAAGCTGTATAAATTTTTCTTTCAGTTCAAATATTTTGATTGATAAGTTTTTCAAATGCTTTCTTTCTATGTTATGTGGTGAAATCGCAAGTTCTTTAACCTTTATGTGATTTGAAATGTATAACAATTGTACCCTCTAAGCAAATATTATTATCATTGTAAATAATTTTATCACCAACAACAAGCTTTTTTTCATTGACACATTTTTTGAAGGTAATATGATCAGAAGGTGGATCAATAACAATATAGTATTTCCTAGTATCAAAACACTCAGAGATAAGTTTTGTTAAAGGCAACTCTTCACCTCCTAGGAATGTCTTAATGTTGACAAAAGATTTAGATTCTATGAGGATTTGTTTATCACTTAACTTGTCAAGAGAAAGATTCTAACTTTAAAATTTTGAGTCTGTTGTCATATGAGAAAAGTGGCCACCTTTTTCACAAGACCATAACAAGTGATGTTAAGTTAAAATTAAATAAAATAAGAACTTTATTAAATAACTTAGTTTATTATTACATAAAAATATTAAGACACAAATTTTGGGTTATAAAATATAATATTTATTGGGTTAAAATTATTACATTGTAAAAATAGTACTTAAAAATAAAGATTATATAATATCTGAATGTAAGAAAGTTAGGGTACTTATTTTAGGATTGTTAACTTATAATGTTTCCATAAGTATTAGTTATTTACTGATCTAGTAGTACACAGTGAAATTCGATAAACTGGATCTATCAGTTTCACTAAAAATATCCGGTTTATCGGGATATCCGGTATAGCGAAAAAATTTCGATATATTGGAAATCTATTATACTGAATTTTTTTAAAGAATTCATGCTAATAAAATTAATATACACTATATTTTAATTTTTTATCTTAGTTTTAAGTTGAAAATAAATATAAAATATTTTTAATTGAATATATAAGTAATATAGGACCCCAGACATCACATATATAACTCACATTTGAGTTTTAGCAAATTCAATCAAAATTAGGTTAAACTCATAATTTTAGAAAGAGCAAATTGATTGAAAATTAATTAATAGTCATAATTATGAGTTTTAGCAAATTGTATTGATTTTACAAAGTCATATTT